TGGGTTACATTCTTGATCTTAACGCTCATTAAAAAGAAGTCTGGAGCTTCTCTTGGATTCTCTTACATCATAACGTGAGCTTTAGTTTGGGCAGTAGCTCCAAACACTGATCTATATTTGGCCTCAGCCGTCGGGGGCTCCCTCCAACATGTAAACAGCTCCGATTTAGATTTAGCTTTAGTTCTCCAGTCAACTGAAAACAGGCGTGTCAACGCCGGTATAACTTCAGACCAACAGACATTAAACACATCAGGAATGGTTAAAAGGAGCAATATCAAACATTTTAGCTTCAACTTATCGTTATAAAGTAAATGACTTTGTACAATGTACAGGCGGTAGACTATTGACACCATTGGGGTATAGACTGGTTCCCTATGAGCCTCCCTTTACAATAAAATGATGTCAGCTTTCAAGCCCCAAACTCCCTCATCATCAAAGGCTTGCAGAGAGCTTTCAGTAAAGTGGAACTCAATTGTTTAACTCAACTAAAGCTAGCTAAAAACTAGGGCAGCACGATTTGGGGAAATAATCCAATTGCGATTTCTCTGACAGATATTGCGATTCGATTTGCGATATTTATTTTTAAGCGACCCAACGGAAGTTTATTGTAAAATGCGGCCATATCTCCGGCTAGGAAGGTCGTATCAACGTGCTCCCGTCGCTAGCACCCCCGCAGCCCGAGCTACGAGTAAAATAACTAAACTTACATGAAACTTCCATTGGGTTGCTTTAAAGTCAAGCTTCAGTTTAAGATTCACCCTGTAATAGAAACATGTGATGGAGCATTACTAACCTGACTCAGATGCTTTGTTTCACCAAAGCATCTAGGAAAGCTCCATTGGAAGCCATTTGGAAAAGTATTTCAAAAATACTTGGCAGGTGATTGGATCAATCTGTCTATCACCTACTATCATGGGCCACTTCTGATTGGTTAACAATGGCTGGTACATGTGGAGCACAGCACTTCTGATTGGTGTGGAGGACTGACACACAAGAAGAAAAAAACAAAACAAAAGAAACTGAAAAAAATCGCAGGCTTTGCGATTTGATAATTGCATCATTTCAAATCGCGATTTCGATTTAAAATCAGTTAATCGTTCAGCCCTACTAAAAACTCAACAAAATAGCCTAAAACTCAACAAAATAGATCAAAACAAAAATAAATATGTTACAACTTTAACAAATTAGCATACAACTCGACTGAATTGCTAACAACTCAACTAAAGCTAGCAAAAAACTCAACCAAATAGATAAAAGCTCAACAACAAAGCTGGAAGTAACTATCTCCAAGTTGCTAAAACTTAAGTAGTGAAACTGTGGAAACCCTATACCTTGAAAAAGAGCCCCTCCAGTCAAAGAAGAGTAATAAAAAACATTGTCTTGACTAAGCTAATTCACAAAACCTACTTCCTTATTAATACCACAACGGGTTTCATTCTGCCTTTATCCTAGCAGATCAGGGTTTGGAGTTCTTTGTGATTCATAGACGATACTGTTGCTTAATCTTCTTGTTCATTTCAAAATGAAGGGACTTAAATGTGTAATCGACATCAGATTTGGAATCAGATTTTGGAAACATATTATGCCTCATGTTCTGAGGATAATGGAAAGCAATGGTTGTCTTAGCAACCGGCTAGTGGGCGAAATTGGAAAAAAGTTTGCACATCAGTGGTATGAGAAAGGGAAAGCCAGCATAGGCACAACAAAAAGCATTCTCGACTCTCCTTTGCCTCACCAGCTGACAGTTAAATAGGTTTTTACAGCTCTATGATTATCACTTTCCTGCAAACTCGTTGCCCTTTGACCCCTGCTGCACACGTTTAGGCTACTTCATTTGGATAGCAGCACTATAAAACGCTAAAGAGAAAAGAACCAAAGAGAAAGCCGCTGGCATAAAACTGCAGAGAAACGCTGTGTGCGAGTTTTACGAGAAGAATAATCAATAAAGTTTGCAACTCTAATTGTAATGACTCCCTACAGATAAATATGCATAATAAAACCCAATGTTCTATGACATTTAGTTAGAGAATACACATTGCTACTTCATGGTGGTTTTTATGCACATAATTCACAAACAACTTTACCAATGGGATAAATGTGTTGACTTTAACAGAACATCTGGCATGGTCATTTATTACAAAAATAATGTGTATTGTGGTTTTGCTCGAAGAAAGACACTGATTGTGCTTACATATAATGTCACTATTACTGCGTCAAAACAACTTGCAGTTTTTTGTATTAGAACTATAACTTTTTTAAAAAGGGACTATTGTTTACAGTGCATGGTGTTTATGAGTCCACTGTAACCAATACAACAAATGCATTCTCTGCACCCTGTAAGGAAAGTTGTTTTTATTTGGAGTTGTTGAAAGATTTGTGATTATAACACACACACAACAGGTTTATAATGAAGTGAAAGTGTGTGTGAAAGTCACGAGTGCTTCTCCTCTACTGTGAAGCGCTGATGGCAGCGATCCAAAAGTCAAATTATATGGGCATCGGCCTGCAGGCTGAAATTCCACCTGCGGAGAGGCACAAGGCCCGATAAGAGTCCTGATTAATATCACTCCTCTTACGCAACCTCCCCTGACAGATATAGAAACTGACAGCAAAGGCAGGTAAAAACACACACGCATAAATAATCCTGCCAAATACAGACACACCCTCCCTGTTTTACAACATGACACTATTCATATACACAGCTGTGCTAGCTCAGGCGTTGTCAAAGTCATGAGAGCTGCAACGTGATGCGTTTGAGAGCCAAGCTGCAATTGGAAAACAAGAAACTGCGACAGAAATTGAGATATGATGTGTGCCTTTGATGCTACAAACACCCTGGATAACTACTTGGTGTTGTTTAAGGCACTTAGGGACGGGGGGAAAGTGATTTGTTGCAAACATTTAGAGCCCAGTCCCTGTCTTCCTACCGGGGTAGCATGGATTAAATGTCTTGTTTAAAATTGACTTGAATTATAAAAAAACTGTTTTAGAAATCAATGAGTCATTTAGGTCAAGCTAAAAGCAGTGTCAGCTACACAAATGTCTCATATTTTCAGCTTTTGGGGTTTAAATGATAAACCTAACTGTATGTATCCAGGTTTTGAGGGTTAACCGAAGATTAAAAAGCGCCACGTGCGAAAAAGGTTTTTACATTGTGAATAAAGTCAGACTTTATGCTATGTGTAGAAATGGTCAAATTGTGACTATACCTAAGAGTACTGACTGCTCCCCTTGTTTATGTTCATTTCTCAGTAGAAAGTATTGGTGTAAAGGCCTCATGGTGAGAAGAAAAACCTGTAAACTTCACTATGGCTGGATGCAATTAACCAGGAGAAAACACTGGAATGTATGCAAGGGGAAGCAGTTGAACAAGAGGAACAGACTTAAAAGAAAGGGGGTAGAGGAGACGCGGGAAAAAAAAAAGAGGGTGACAAAAGGGGGAATAGGAGCCAGATTGCAGAATGACTGTGACAGCATGTAAAATACACGTGCTGTCATGATGGGGTGCCATGATGGCTGACAAAAGCCTCCACACTGAGCACAGTCCGGCTCTGTCTGCAGCTGAACATGACTGCGACTATGTCAACATTAAACCAGCAGCCTCTGGAGCTCGGACACCATCTGAACAGCTGAAGATACAGCTCTCCGGGGACCTGCTGTGCTGATAATTCAATTAGACCAATGTTTACTGGTTGGCTCAGCAACTGTTGTTTTAATCATGGAACTATGGCGTTACTTTTCTCCAACTTTTTGGACGGTTTGAATTTCTTTCAAACTGCTTAACACACAACATTTCCCAGAATATTTTTGCAGTTGTTGGGTGAGGCTGACAGTCAAACTCCCTCCGTCCATACCCTACAGGCCTTGTTACTGTACTCACAACATGAAACTCCTGCTAAACCAGAACACAGGGCAGCACAGCGCTAACACTAGAATGCTGCCTAAACACTGCTCCATTTCTCTAAAGAGAGTTTATCAAATGTATCTAACAAATCGCAGAAAGAAAAGAACACTGCATCTTCAAAATGGGGCACGGACGTTTTTTTTTCCAGTGCATCAACTCTTTTCAGAACAACATTTTTAGTAACCACCTGCAACTGCTATAACCACTTTTGAGCAGAAACAGGAGCACAGGGTTGAGTATTTGTACACATAAATAAACCATGGCACAGCTCCCTGAGGGTGGTACACAAATCAACAGATCCAGCTTCTAATAAAAGACTGAACTGGGGGGGGAGGCGCAAATACCGTAAAGAAGGATAGTGTGAGGAGAAAAGCAGCCTCACTGTCACACAGAGACCTGAGCTAATGGAGGTGGATGTGTGGTGGCAGAGGGGTCGAGCAGGACAAACAGCTGCTGAGTCACCATGCTCTGTGACTCAGCGAGTCCAGCCACTGATATTTTCACAACAACAAGTCAATTGAGCTGTTTATCAAGCGCCTTTTTCTGCAGAATGACAGAATGACCAGAGGGGCGGAGATAAAGCAAATGTGACATCTAGATTCTGAATGAAACTCTGAAGAAAAACAGTTCCGGGATGCAGATAGAAGCACGGCTGCAGCTTGTGATTATTTTCAGATTCTGTGCATTCCTGATAAATCAATTGGCCTATAAAACGTCAGAAATTAGTGCGACAAATGCCCATCCCAGGTTCCCTAATTCCAAAATGGCTGTCTTTTAATGTATTTCTTATTAGATGTTCAGTAAAATACGTGTGTAAAGTCTCCATATAAGGAGAAGAAAACAGCATTTTCTGCTATTCTTCCATGGAAAATTACTTACTAACTATTAATAGATTATTATAATAGTTGTTGTTGATCAACTATCCTTGCAGCTCTAGTTGCAAGCAGAGAAGAACTGTTAAAAAGGGTGAAAACTAAATCCTAAACAGACATCGATAACCCGACTTAAATCAAATTGTCTAATGATATGATGAGTACATTAAATATATTTCACTGCATGTTAAGCCAAAAAAAAATGCACAGGCTTGTGTCCTCACCTGTCCTCCTCTCCTTCAGCATGGTGGGTCCTGAGGCCTGCAGCAGCAGCAGCCACCATGAAGGCGCTCGCCTCCGCCGACATCCCCATGTGGGCCAGCGATCCTGCAGCACCTCCAGCCTCTGCAGCCCCGTCTCCACCTGCTGTCATCCCGAACCGGGGCAGACCCAGCAGGCCTTGGTGCTGGAGCAGGATCCTCTGGGCGTCCTCCAGCTGCGATGTTCTAAAGGAGCCCCCTCCTCCGGGGCCCTGGTTGAGGGTGGCTCCCAGGGTGAGGAGAGGCTGCAGGTCAGCTTGCAGGGCAGTCAAAGGCATGTAGTGGGTCCTGTGGCTGGGTGCTACTGGGATTGTAGCAGTAGGGGGCTGTGTCAGGTGAGTGGGGAGGGTTTGTGGCTGTCCTGCATAAGGTGCCTGGGTAGGTGGGGCTACCTGACCATGATGGGACAGCTGCTGGAATATATTGATCGGGGGATGTGGAAGTGGGTTGCTGGAGATTCCCGCTGCACCGTGTGGCGGAGGAGGCTGGACCTGGGTCTGGAAGGGCGCAGTGGGCTGGATAAAGTCTGGCTGACGCACACTTCCTGGAGCATGGAACTGGGGTGCAGGGTAACCTCCCTGGGGTGGAGCCTGGTGGGGATCGACAGTGTAGGGCAGCTGCTGGGGTATCACAGAGGGCGGCTGATTTACACCAGCCTGTGGTGTTGCTGTAGGGAGAGTGACAGGAGCTTGCTGCATGTGGGGCCCAGCAACAACCTCCTGGGGTGAAACATAGGTCAGAGGAGTGGTTTGGGCCTGGGGCGGGCTCTGCACCGCTTGTGGACTGGTGAAGTCCTGGCTCGGGGTCTGATAGGGCTGAAGAGTGTGGGGCGGCTGTACAGCAGGTACACCCTGATTTATCCCGGCATTACCTGCCTCAGTCTCTACAGCCACCTCTACACCTTTCGGTGCCTCAGATGCAGCTACAGGATGGACCTCCTTTTCATAATACTCTGTACACATCCATCTTCCTTTGCGGAATGGCTCAGAGTTAGTGTCTAGTTTGACCACCCTAAAACGAGAGCCGGTGGCCGTTTGAGTTTGGGTGTGCTGGGTTTGAGTGTTGGGGGCAGCAGATGGGGCTCCAGCAGAAGCTGCTTGCCCATTCACATTAGTGTTGTCATAACCTGCAGGCCCAGATGCAGGTACTGCAGCAGCAGTGCCAGCTGACACATTAGAAATGCTCACACTGCCTTGCAGATGCGGATCAGCGGCTGTCCCAGCAACAATAGGGGCTGCGGGCTGAGTCGTCCCACCTGCAGGTTTACTGTTATCCAACATGGGTGGCCTGTGCGTCTGGTTGGGCCCAACTCTGGAAGCCATAGCAGGGCTGGAGCTAGCCAAGGGAGCGATGGGAAGGCCTGGCAATGAGGGCTCATTTCCTTCCAAGCTGTCAGATTGCTGATGGTTGGGCTGCTGAGGGTAAAAATGATGGTGCATGGTACCATTTACCATCGAGGTGTGCTGCTGAGACCCCTGAGGGACGGAATGAGGGTGAAGAGGCTCGTTGGGTGACACGATTCCAGGTGTGTCAACCCCATGGAGACTGTTGAGTGTCTCATCAGAAGAGCTTCTCTCCGGGACACCTGTATCCGTGGCCCTGGACACGGAAACATCCAGCATATCAGAGGAGGAGAGGTCTTCAGTGTGTGACTCATCCATGTCATCATAGCTCTCTGTGTCATCTGCCAAACTGTTGTTGCCGCTCACGTTGATCTGCGCTGAGGTGACACTTGTGATCTGGAAGCCACTCTTCTTCTTTACCTGAGCTCCGGATGCTTGGGACTGGGGCTGGTGGTGGAGTCCAGGAGAATTGGATCCAGCCTGGGGGGGATTGTCGTCGACTGTGTTGGAGCCACTGCTACCGGCTGCGGGGGAGCCAGGCGCACCGCTGCTACCCCTCCTGTAGTGGAAACCCGCCTTCCTGCTCCCGGTCCCAGGCGGTTCTGCAGAGAAGTCCTGGTGGTGCATCTTTACCGTCAATGAGCGACTAAAGGCTGGCTGACGGCTGTTGGTGCTACCTGCTAGCTAAAGCAGATGCTAGCTAGCTGGGTCAGCTGCAGTACCGCGATACTAACGAGCCATAAGTGAGAAGTCAGATGATTTATGTCCTTTAAAGATCGAGCTAGATGTTCAAGGATGTAGTTACACTGAAATACTAGCTTATAAGCGGCGATACACTTACTAAATAACGTATTAATCCAACTTCAGTAGGATAAAAACACAGCAAATTAAATAAACAAAGAATGTTAAATGCAGCTAGCCGCAGGTTAGCTTGGAGCTATGTTGGGTCGCCAGTAGCGATTAGCCACGGTCTTCCATAACTTGGTTTCTCCTCAATACTTATCAGGACTATTCTGCTGTAGTTAGTGTCACACAAAAGCACACATAAATAAGTGTAGCTCAGAATAGTTTAGCTTTACTTCACAGTGAATGTGAAAGCTTCTTAGCTGCCCGGTGTATGTCGCAGGAAATCAGACGTCGCACAAATTCCTCCCCTGGACGTTGAGTCTCCTTTTATTACGAAGCAAAAAATATCCTAGCGATGAATGAACTCCTTATGTTGTCATTAGACAAGGGTGTCTAAATAGTATCCGTCTTTGTAGTGGTAAAAAGTGCACGCTAAGTCCATCTCGATGTGTCTCACTGAGTCCGTGTTTGCTGTATCATTGCCGGTGAGCAGCTAACGGGCTGTCAGTCTCAGAGGAGGGAGGAGGAATGCAAACACTGCGACTGCGCATGCTCTTGTCTGCCCATTTCTTTAGACCTTTGCAACGTTCACGCTCCACTGTTAAAACGGAATGTACATAGCCTACCCAGGTATTCAAGTACAGCTAGTACATCGTGTCGTTTTCCTTAAAAAAACATATCTATAATCTAATTTTAACCCCTCCTCTTTATCCAAACCATCTTACTATTATAAAGTGGGCATTTTCGAAATGATGTATCAGTTGTCCTAAAAGTCCATGATCAGAATGTCCGTTTTACAATATTTACACAGCGATGAAGGCAGCACTGGCCTCTGGGTTGTGTTGATTTATTTTTCTTGGACCCCACTGTTTGGGAAGTGCTACTATATATAAACTAAACCGTTATGAATAATATCTTTGAAGCTGCTTTAAGCAACAATATTTCCCTTATTTATTTGTTAGCTACTGGTGAATCCCACAGACTTTAAAACATAACGAACATTCAGATGTTCAACATGTGCAATATAGCTTCTTAATACTATGTGGATTATCACTTTTAATGGCAATTTTCTTCAATAATGTATTCACTTTTGTAAGCTTTTTTTCAGTTAACTTTTAAACTAAATGTGTCATACAAAATCTACTTTGTCTACACTTTATATGTAATACTCAATTGTTTTTCTATTCATTGTAATTTTTTAGCAATTTCTGTGACAAGGATTTCCTTCAGCATTAAAAAAAAAACAATTACTTCCTTCTTATTTTCTACACATGAATTATAATCAAATGTCCCTTAACAAATACAGCCTTTTGCATTTAAGAAGCTTTTAAGCCTTCTGTATTCAGATATCCTTTAGTGAAAGGGTAAGAAACATGCAACAAGTCTTGACATGAAGATGAAGTAGAATAATCTCCCCATATAGGACCAGCTTTACTTGACGTTTATATAATCCCCCTATGGATCTCATGCATCAGAAACCACTCCAACCTGTATATGTTTTTTGTGCCTGCCTTCTGGCAACAGATTCTCTTTTTAAACATGACAGCATTCAAAGAGATGAGACACGCCTCACTTCCAACATGTCAGCATCATGGCTATTCATAAACACATCACATGCACCTGTAAGGGGAGGGGGGGGGGGCAAGCGCTGGGAAAGTTCCACTCTGAAGTCTGATTCCAAAGGTTGCATAATGTTGAAACCGTAGAAGGTAAACAGAGAAAGTAAGCCATGCTTTCTGTAAACGTTCAACCGGAACGTCAAGACTGATTCTAGACAGCCCGGCCTCTACGGAGTTTAGACAGTGTTGAGCCAAATGTACAAACATTTCAATTCATTCCAATGTATAAAAGGCTTATAAACACTGAAAAGTATCCTCTTGATCATTGGATATTATGCATTCATGCTAAAAAATAACCAATAACAGCAAAAAAGTAGAACAAGCAAACTTATTTTACATATGAAATGTCATCATAAACCATTTCTCTACACTGGTGGAGGTTAACCTGTATCATTTGTAAATAAAAACAGGGTGTGAAAGAAAGACCCACATCTCCTTAAATATAAGGTCATTTATTCAGACCAATTATCCATTTGATCCATTCAGTTGTTTTGAAGTACGGTTGTATGATCATTTCTGCACAATATAATCGACATGAAGAGAAACACTTTAACAAGTGTGATCCTCTGGTTCATGTCTCAGTTGTGACGTTATTGACATTTTCTCTGAAAAACGTCAAAGCCATGAGCGTGAGCAGAGGCCTTATTATGGCAACAGAGACATGACATTTAAGACCCGCACTGAAGTGACCAGTCAAAGGAAAACATATAAACACTTCTGTGAATAGTAAAAAGGCAAAATTGAGTCAATAAACTAACATGTTACATTTCTCTCAAGATTGTCTTCAGACAATAGAGAGAAAAACTGTATAAACTTATCTGAAAAAAAACAAATCACCACCAGATGGCGATCACAGTCCTCCAGTATATGGAAACAGGAAATCCAGAGAAAATAAATTAGTTCATGAATAAATAAAGAAGTGAACCAACTAAATAATTAGGGAAACGAATTATTAGGGAAATAAATGTAAACATAAATACATTAACCATGAAAATAATTAAATATGAAAACTAATAAATACAAAAATGTACCTGCACATGTATTTAATAATTTAGGCTTTTTTTTCTGAATATCTCTCTTATTTATTTGTTAGGGTATGAGTCAATATGGGCGAATTTAGTTCTCCATACACCTAAATACCAGCATACTAAAAATAACTAACTAAATAGTACATTTTGGAAGACATATTGTCAGCTACGTATTACATAATCGTACTCTGACTCAACAAAATATCTTTCAAACGATGTTTAAAGCGAAAACGGAAGTTCACAGACGGGAACCCTCTTGCTCTGGTTTAGCTAACTTTTTAGCTAGCTTTTTTAATATACGTGAGTCGTATTTAAGGTTGCCCAGATGTCTGATAAAACTATGAAACGTCCAGGAGTTGGGGTCGGGGTTCTGGTAACAGACTCAGCCCACCCCGGCTGTGTTCTCCTGGGGAAACGGAGAAATGCAATGGGCCAAGGGAAGTACCAGCTCCCCGGCGGCCACTTGGAGTTTGGGTAGGTACCATAAGCAGCTAGTTAGCAAGCTCCACACACAACAAATAAACCCCATTACAATGAAATAAAAACGTCTTTGCAAGTTTGCATTGAGCCGAATTATCCCAAAGTGTTCAGCATATATGAAAACATGTTTTAAATGTGCATTATTATACTTTCCTGGCAAATAAGTGTGCACAAATACAAATGTGTAATATTTTAAATGCACCTTGGTGTTCAGGAGTGTGTTTTTAAGAACCTTCTTTAGACTGTCAGTCATGTCAAAAAAGGTCCTGCAAGTGGATGCAGTCGTCAGTATAATAACTGTTTATCATGCATATGACTTTAATTGGATGTGACACTCATGTCTATGTCATTGAAAGAGAGACGTGGGAGGAGTGTGCTCACAGAGAGGTGTTGGAAGAAGCAGGGGTGTGTTTGGTGAACGTCTGCTATGCCTCTGTGGTGAACTCCATCAAACTGGAGGAGCAGTACCACTACGTCACCATCATCATGCAAGGAGAACTGGACAGGAAGCAGTCAGGAGAGCCAGAGAACCTGGAGCCAGAGAAAAATGAGGGTATGTGAAGCCGAACGGATGTTTTTACAAGATTTAGATGAAAAAGTTTCCTACTTACCCAACATATGCTTCGTTCTCTGCCTGACAGGTTGGACCTGGACTCCATGGGACCAGTTTCCTCCAGAGGAGCTGCTCTTCTTGCCGTTAGCCAACCTGAGACAACAAGGCTTCCAGCCGTTCAGGAACATAATAACATCCAGCATTGAAACTCAGCTTTAAACTTTTGCATTGGGAAACTTCCAAAGCAAAAATACCTCTTCAAGACTCAATCTCTTGGTTTACAACAGTGGATGGATAACATGTAGTTTCTAAAACATAAAACACAATTTAGAGTGGCACAACGACTTGAAATGTTTTGAACACACAACACAAGACACGTTTCAAAGTTTTGATTATTTTGTATTGCTTTTTGGCGCCAGATGTTATTTATATGTCGACGTCGTCATATTCAATGAAATAAAAAAAGATTTGTGGATATACTAATGTGTCAGGCATTGCCTAAAATAAGATTTGTATTGAAGTCTATGATTAATTATAGATGTATTTATGTATAATACATTGAATCAAAGGTGCATTGGTATGTATGATGCATTACATACTTTTGATCATAATCTACAAAAATGTATAGCTTAAATGAGGATAAAAAAAAAGTTGTCTTAAAAACTGGAGCTCTCCTTGAACCTAACCTAACATACTCAAGATAAATGCAACTTAAAGCAAAACAGCTTGAGTTATTTCCCCCCCCTCACATCAGGGTGGTGCCGGTGACACTTAAGGCTAACAGCATGCTCCACAGGGTTGCAGCGGTTGCAGCGGCCCCACTAAAGGTCTTGTCGTGGGCGTAGGTGATGATGTGCAGGGCTCCGCTGTAGGCCTCCTCGCAGGTCGGCTGGATCTGATCCTGGGGAAGCTCGAAGCCAAACGTCCCGTCATCTCTCAGCTCAAAGGCGTAGGTTAAGGGGATCCCCTGCATCCGGGCCCAGTCGTGGGAGGAACCAGAGTTGGCGTCTGTAGAAAGAGGGTACACTGCTGTTTTTCTGCTAGCACGGCAACAAAGTCAAATAAATTTGTGACCAGCTGTGATGTGTGGACTTACACATTATATCCGATGTGGTTCCTACGGTGTAGTCCTTCCCGTGCACGCTCCGAATGGCGTCTGCTGCACCCTTACCTACCTTCATCTGAAGAAACACATTAGCTTTTGTTATACAGTCATTGAAAGCAACTGTATTAGCTCTATGTGCTTTACTTTTTCTTCAGTTTAAGAAAAAAAACTGAAATGAGTTGTCTCAAAATGACCCATAATGACTGCAAAGACATGCAAAACAACAGAAAAATGAGCACTAAGAAAGGTAAAACAACTACAAGAAGATGTAAAATAACAAAAAAAAGACTTCCAGCCTGTACATTTTTTTTTTATCTTTGCCTGTATTATTTTGCCTTTTGGATTAAACGCTTGACTAAAACCTTTTTTGCCTGGTTGTGCTCTTGAGTCCTATTTTTGCTCGTGCCCGTATAGTACGAACTGGCCAGCTCAGGCATCCTGTTTTGGTGCATTCTGGCTCAGATGCCAGTTTTATAGACTTGGAGTTGGCTAAGAAGCTGAACCTTGAGACCTTCCCCCTTCCAAGACCAATGGAAGCAAGTGCCTTGGATGGCCGTCTTCTCTGTAGGGTAACTCACCACACCCAACCTCTTCAGCTAAGTTTACAGGACGGTCATACTGAGCTTCTCGTCTTTCATGTTTTTCGGTCCCCCGAACACCCAATCATTTTGGGGTACCCCTGGCTTACCCTACATAACCCCCACATAGACTGGTTGAACCATTTGTTCTCCATTATCAATAGAGCTGTAACAGATTGTCTCATTTTCTGTGTATTTGTGACATGCATGAGCCCAGTTTCTATGGCAATATGCCTTATTCTCTTGATAAATGTAGCGATAATCAGGCACAAAAGTTGCACATACACTTTTCTTAAATCCTGAATTGTTATGTGATGTTATGTTGAGTATATATTGTGTATGTTCATAATCAGCCATGTGTAAATCATGCATCATTGTGTGTGTCGATGTAAATACCAGCTCATCGTTGTTGCTGGCGATGAAGTTGGGGTTTCCAAATGGAACCAGGACCATCTTGCTGTAGGAGTGGATGGTGAGGAAACACAGGAAGTCTTCTCTCCGGTTTCCTACGAAATAAGTGACGGCCTGGGCCTCGGGCTCGGACACAGGTTTAGTCCCGCAGAAGATGGGGGCGCAGCAGTCGAAGGAAGCCCCGACCGCTGTGGAGGCAGCCAAAGAAATTGAATTATCTAGTGGTGAG